ATATGCATGTAAGCCCTGACTGTGAGTAACCCCTTTTGACAAGCTGTTCTTTTCTAATTTGCAGAAGAGGATAATTACTGTTAATAAATGTGTGATTCAGCCAGTGCATTCCCCATGTGGAGATAGGACACAAACACCAGAGAGGCCAGAGGAAGTGGCCAATGTGGAGGACTTTACAATAAAAAATGCTTTAGCTCCTTGATCTGATCTCGAGGAGCTCAATGTGAAGAGTTCCTGCAGAGAGGAGGGACTACTTTTTGGATTACTCTTATCTGAGGCTCAGCGTTTGGGTTGGCGTAGAGAATAAATGCTATCAATGGGATTTCTACTGGTTGCAAGAAAGATATACTGAAAAGAAGGAGAGGTTATTAATAAGGAAAGGTAAATAATAAAAGTGAATGAAAAGAAACGGTAGATGATGAGGGGGATATGAAAGAAAAGACAGTAAAAACAAATGGTAACACTTGAAAAAAAGGTAGAAAGTATATAATAAAAGAAAATGGAAATTCGAGAGGAAGGGAAATGGAGAAATGAGGATAGGTGATGAGAAAGTAAGGAGAGAAGGAGGAGGAAGTCAGGAGAGAAGAGAGGGGAGACGTAAAGAGGAGAGGATAGACAAGTATAGAGGAAATAAAAGAGAGGGAAAAGAGAGGAGAAATGAGAGGAGATATGTAAATAGGGAAGATGTAGAAAGAAGAAGAGAGACGTACAGTAAAGAGAGAGAGGGATGAAACGAGAGGAAGGATTTCAAGAGGAGAGATGTAGAGAGGAGGGATGTACAGAAAAAGAGGGGGAGGAGATGTGAAGAAGAGAAGAAGGATGAGAAGAGGTGAGATGAAAGGAGGAGCGCTGTAATGAGGAGGAGAGGACTCTCTCTGCCTGGTTAAGCACTCGGACACAGCTGGAGCTCGGATCAGAAACGAACGCCCTGAATGGACACGGCTGTTGATTAGCTCCAAGTGTTGTTGTTTTGCAGCTTGGACACGGAGATAGTGAATTGAGGGCTATAAATAGCAAGAACCAAATCTCGTGTTTTTTGTTGCTTTCTTCAAAAGCAGCATTGTATTGTTGTCAGTTCTTCTCTTTGACCCAGCAGCTTGAGCTAACTCCTGGATGATCCTCCTGCTGAGGTTGCTGGATTGAAACCTTGAACAGCTCAGACATGAGATAACATTATTACAGGCGTGTCAAGGTCATATAGACGGCCTCGGTCTATATGCCTTTTCCTATTTTTGTTTTTTATATATTTCTCTGTCTCCTTACTGCTTGCCAGCCCATGAAATTGTCCTTCGTTGAAATTCTGGTCAGGAATACTTTAACAGCAGAATCAAGCATTTCTATGTGCATGTTCACCAGAGCAGAACATCAAGTAATGACCAGTTGTGTGGAAAATAAAACAAAGGGAAGACAACCTTTACTATCCCTTTACTATCCCCTTAATATCAATCGCAACTGCTGGATGGAGTTCCCTCAGACAAAAGAAGGTTTTGATAGCACATATATCTCTCAGAATATGTCGTCTAAAAACCAATCCTGTCTCATTCACTGAGCCGTCAGACATATCTCAGTTTAGCCACCATTATGCACTCTGAGAAATGTGCAGTTTATCAAAAGATGGCCAATGTCTGCGCCTCTGGTGGCGGTCAAATGCCCAGAATGACCCAGAAATGGCTCTCAGGTCTGTGGAAAATCACTGTTTTAGCTTAGTGCCATCACCAGCCACGCTCAGGGTTACCTTCTCCAATAGGAACATTGGATTGTGAATCAGTTTTCTGATTTCAGTGTAGCCACTGCAGGCCGGTTGATTGCATTTGGACAGAAGAGAGCGACGATTGTAGAAATCCAAGGCTGAGTTACAGAGCAACACAGAGCATGTGAGAGCAACAGGCAGACAGATGGAGATGGCCTTTTGGAGATTGGCTATCAACCACATATACTTCAACTGAGACGTTATGGCTCTACAGATGCCAATGTTGGCTGGTAGGGCAGTTATTCACTCCACACTTTGATCAGGAGGAGTTTCAATGACATTTGACTTGACAAACAGTGCAACATTTCCTCCTCTTACAACAACAGGAAAATAGAAAAAAAGATGACTGAACTTCCTCCTGCTTTCACTATGTGTTGAGTGCTGAATATACAGTTCAAGTATTTAATGTACATACAGTATGCACAACAATTACATGAAAGCTGCCGTTGCCCTTTTTCTAAGGCTCCTTGCAACAATGATGCTACAAAATGTGTAAAATTAAGTAAAGAAATTATATATAAGTACAAAATATAAAACAGAATACAAATATAATTCTGAGGTAGACTGGTGTAGAGTATACAGGCATACATACATGTGTAAACTGCATTGGTTGAAAATATTACATATTTAAATAGTTGACATCCACCTGCCCTAATTGTTTTCTTTCTACAGTAAGAAATGTTTTTATGAAGGATTTAACAACATAGTTTATTTGCTTATACTACTTTGTATATGTTAAGAGCTAAATCAATTTTTATTTTGATATGCTGCACTCATTTATAGTACTCCTAATATTTGCAGGCTTTTCTTTATACTGCAACTACGGCAACACTATTTCCCTCAGGGTTAAATAAAGCTCTCACCTTTGTTCGTTTCAATTAGCCTTAAAGATCCAGAGGATTTAAGTGTTAGAAAGTAAAAGCAAAGGCTTTGTGGTTTAATAAAGCAGAGACTCTGTCGGGGACCGTCTCTTCTAAAGCGTGCTGTCTGAAAGTCTGAACCAGACTGTGCTCTGGTGAACACAAATGTGATTATAGAGAAAACAGGCAGTTTAAATACAATTTACTTTTATATATTTTCCAAAAAGAACAGCCAGTCACTGGAATCATGTTGTTTTGTTGATGTTGGTTTCCTTAATTGAGATCAACACACTTTTGATGTATGTATAGATTAAAAATGGTAACACATATGTTTTGTACACCATGTGTTATGTAATGCATAATCAAATAGTGTTTCTGTAGCCAGATAAAACAAAACATGCTTAAAAAGTGCTGGGTGTAGGAGAGGGTGTGCTGGTTTTGTCTAAAAAAATGTCCGTCATACCAGAAATCGCACACCTAGTGCGAGTGATGACCTGAAAGCATCCCTTGATTTGGCTTTGATGACATTACAATGCAACTTTTACATTTCAGGTATTTTGAACAGCATTTTTTCCCACGAAGGCTAAAGTTAGCAATTTAAATCTCAGTGTGAGTTACTTTGTGTGGGGGCGGGGGCTGTATCTGAAATGCTACGGCTGATGCTACGCTTCAAAAATATGTAACTCACCTCAGCATTCACAGTTGAAATGGAGTCCGCCTGCTGCAGTGTGATAGCTTTTGGCTTAAAGATAGTTTCGGTGTGACTCATCCAGAGCACATTTTTGGTGACGATGAGATATAATACCGAAGCTATGCATAACCTATATCCTCTCTTAGCAGCTCCAGAGAAAACAGAACACACTTCACATTCAGCAAAGATGGTGGATGTTTGTTTACGACCTTACACTGTAAATTAGAACTATAATTACTATGTAAGTTGCGGGATAACATCTAAATACGTTTACCAAATATGATCGTCTGAATGGGATTTTCCAAGTCTGAAAGATTTATCCTCAATGCCAGTCCTTCAATTTAAATAATAATAATAATGTATACTATGACTAGTTATTCATGCACATAATTGATCTCCTTGAATCTGTAAATGCAAACAGAAGTCCTAAACAATTGTCTTACAGTTTTCCGAAAAAATTTCACCACATATTGTAACAAACCAACAAGCTGTACATTTTTTATTTGAAAAGGAAACCTTTATTTTTCTGGCACCTAACGTACTTCTAAATGTATAAGAAACTGGCAGTACTAAGAATTAATTAAAGGTGCTAAAGGTTAGCCAGAATGTTTTTGAGGGTGTGTAATAGTCCAATTAAAGCAAAAGGTTAACTTTAATAGAACATTTACAAATCACTTTTTGAAATGAAGCCAATATTGCCCTTAAATTAAGACAGAAATTACCAAGGGCAGTAAATTCTGTATATTATGCCACTATTACTAGATGATTTTACCATTTGTCAGCAGGGAACTGATTTTAATTCAACATTTCCATCTCAATCAGCATAAATGTGTATAAATAATTGCCGTTATGAGAGCAACACATCATGTTCTCTGAGTGTTCAGATAATCTGGAGTAATGCTGACATGTTGCTTTAACACAATGACCTACATATGTTTTTTTCAGATTAAATGTGTCTTGCGTCACAAGCTATCTGTGACATTCTCTGTTGAGATAATAATACTATAAATATGTATCTATTCACCATGAGAACAGATCCTGCCTATCCTCTGACATACATTGAATATACTGATTATACGACAGGTGCCTACTAACATTGTTCTAATCAAATTGTGTTGCAGAGATTTCACTCTGTAAAGACTGAAATATAGAGAAAATGCTGACTAGAATACAAAAGTGGTGTAGTTGGCATTTAAGTGGGGCTGCATTCAAAGATAAATTGCATGACCATTATCTCAGTAAAGTAAAAGTACGAGTATTGACATCAAAGTATACTATATACTATACCAAAAGTAATTGTTAGGCATAATGGCCCATTTTAGAATCTATTAAAATACTGTATTATGTCTGCATTCATCACAGCTGGTTTATATATCTGAGCCTATAATAATTTGTCAATGTTTAGGGTTAGGGTTAAAAGACAACTGTGGTAATTCAAAAGTACAATACTGGCTTCTTAAATGTAGCGTACTTCATTACCTCCATCACTGTAAGAAAAAAGGACATTCTCACATTTGAGAACATGAAACCATACATTTTATGTATTTTTGCCTAAAATAAATGACGATTGCACAATTATCCTCTCTGAAGCTCTACAAACAATAGTTTCTTTTTTCCTGTTTTTTATTGTTTTGATCTTGAAAATCTTATTGTAAATCCTACATTCTGACATTTATTTATCTAATGTTCCTCCCTCTAGCAACCTCACATCGTGCAGCGCCGCCTGATGGAGGGGAACATGACGCGGCTCCGGAGCGAGGCCCGGGACGCCAACGCCATGACCCGCTCCCCGCTGGCCGACGCCAAGGACAGAGCGGTGGACGCTGAGGAGAGGAGCGAGAGCACCGCCGAAGACTCCACGGAGGAGAGGGAGTCTCTGGAGGAGAGCGAGAAGAGCCTGCGGTCGGACGATGAAGACGACAGCAGCGAGGCAGGGGCCAGACAGAAGAGCCCCACCCTGCTCACTGCCCTAGTGGTTCAATGCAAGGTACTGCACTGTACAAGAGGTGTTTTAACTAGTGGTGTCAATAGATAAGAAATGTTTAATTGCGTTAATCATCAAGTTTACTTATGTTGTCATTACGTTTTCGAGATTAATCGTGAGTCTTAAAGTTGACAGCCCAAATGTTGAAACTTTGGGCTACAAAGACAGCACCGTTCTGCTCCCATGACTCACCACTCAAAGCCCACTCTTCATTTGTTCTCCTTCTACAAACACAAAAAGCTCAGCAGGGCCCAGCGGCTGTCTGGCTGGAAAAGAACAACAGATGACTGAGTCATGGGGTTTGTAAGTGCAATCTGGTTAACACCTCCGCATGGGGCCCAAACAGACTACATGTAGGATTCAGGCTTAACAATTGAACAAGGGATTCAAAAGAACAATCTGTGTGGGCGGAAGTATATAGAGGGAACAAGATATGAAAAAATGTGCATTAAAAATCATGCAGATGCTTATCTAACAACCTAGGCAGTCACCAAAAGGTAATCCCTCTTTTGGGTTCCACAATGTTGGCTCTTGAACCCGCTTGTGGACAACCCTTCACTCAAGTACTTGATACGAGGAGTGAAGCAGGTAGGACCCAAACACAGATAATACTGATAATACCTTTATTTCAAGGGCTCTTATCGAACATATCACATGGAAACACATAAACTCCACGGTGAACTCAGTCACAAACAAAAGTCTGTTAGGGTGCGTGGAAAAGGTAGGACCCAAAAGCAGTATTAACGAAAAATGAGCTTTATTAAATAACAAAAGCTGTGGCAAAAAAGGCAGTATCCAAAATATCCCAAAACAAACGAGCAGCACAAGGAACACAGACCGTGGAATAACAAGGAGGGGAAACATCAAAACACCCAAACCTAGACATAAAAACGTGACATGAAATGAGAATCGTGACAGTACTGATGCAGTGGCAATTTAACATGCTCATAAAGGTAACTGAATTGCCATTGTGGCTTGTTAAAATCAAACAGGTTTCGTTGGACTTTGTGTGAGTCATTGTCGATGCATTAACCTTATTTTAGGGAAAAATTTGTCTTCTAAGCATAACCTTTTTCTAAGGTAGGAGGTCAGGATGGATGACTGTGTTCAAAACATAATATTTATCACGTTTAAAACTGTGACGAATCTGACGATAATCTGAGAGAAAATATGTTTCCTCGAATGAAATTGGGAATGCAGTTTTATTACATGGGAATACATTTTTCGGATACATGATTTTTTTTGGATGATTCGCTCTTTGGCTCTGTATCCAACAGGTCTGATCAGCTGGCGGTCACATTTAATAATAATATTCTATCCAACTTGCATGATCAAGATATTGTGGCGATACATTATCGAGCAAACATCAAGATGTATCCTGGTCTTCCAAAAAGAGACTCAGCTTTGTACAGCACCCAGCCAGAATTATACGTAATAATCAGTGTAAAGAACAATGAAGTCAGTCTGCCTCTTTAAACGTTAAGCTTTTGGTTGCTTGCTGCAGATTAGTCCACAGTGCATTGTCAGCTCCTGTAAAGACGCCAGCACAGCAAACACATCAATGGTTGCGTACATTGCACACAAGTGCACAAAGGAATTGGTGCATGACCAAGCTGACACATCCCTCACCATCACTTCCTGTCAACCCTCCACTAGCTGCTGTGACTAAAGGCACAAACGCTGTTCATTTGGGATAAGAGGCCAGACAAGGGATCATTTTGGTTTAGTTGGGAGAAACAAGATGAAAAATGAAGGGTAGTAGCTGAGATGTAGAGAGTCCCTAATTTGAGTCAAGCCTCTGATCCTACATTTCCCAGAATGCAGCTCAATACTGTTTTAGTGATACCCTCCCTGTCCTGAAAATGCCAACATAAACTCCACAACACCAGTTTGTCACACACACACACACACACACACACACACACACACACACACACACACACACACACACACACACACACACACACACACACACACACACACAGACACACAGACAGACAGACAGACAGACAGACAGACACACAGACACATTAATAACATTAAGCTATCCGGAAAGAGGGCAGTTTCTTTCCCTCGTATGGGTTTTAGTCTCAGTATAAGAGAGGAATAAATAAATAAAATAAATAATTGACAGTCATTTTGATATTGTATTACATATTACAAACACGTGCTTTTTTTCTCATTTGTTGATTATCTATGGGCTCTTGGATATTTCTTTTTTACTATTTTCTGACATTTCATGGAATAAACAAAAAAAAATGTCAGCAAATAGTAATATTCTTCTCACTGTAAATCAAAAAGAATAACAAGATCATACAGATAAATATAATTATTAATGAAAACAGGGTTTATTCTCTATTAAATCCACTCATCAAGGAGACAAATAGATATGGTACCAATATCTTATAGTTAACCTACATCAAGAGGAAGACATATTTTGTCATTTTTTGATTATAGATAATTGCAGCAAGGCTTGACACGAAGGACAAAGCCATTTTTCATCCTGTGTAAGAAATCAATACAAAGATTAATCAGTGCTATTCCCTGGGGAGTGTTAAAAAGCTTCCCTCTGTGTGTGAGTGTTCTTAAAAATTAGCAGGCCACTCTAGACTTTTGTGGTAGATTCAGCATTTTCTCCTATTACTCATTGTGCTTCGCTTGGTTTCATCATCAACTTATTGAAAGCAACATGTTCCACAGTTAATCATTGTGCTGCTATTTTTAAACGTAAGAATGTCTGCTCTGCTGGGACGAGACAAAGCGCAGGTTTGTGTTCCTGCTGATAAGCTGCGCTGCCTGTGAGGACAAAGGAGGTTGAGCTCAGAATGGGTGAGAGATCAAAACAAGGCTCATGGAAACTGAACCTTTTATATCCAAAGGGGAAAACATCCCAGGGTCGTTGGATAAAGTATTGATTTGTTACAGAGAAAGGGAGAGAAAGATATATTGACATATTTTCTGGAACCACAGTGGATACTGCTGGACACTAAATAAGAGGTTTATATGTTTCTAAAAGGGGGACATGGTGAAAAACTGCTTTTTGCACTGCTTATTCACATACATTTGGGTATGTGGAGTAATACCAACCCATTAAATGTGAAATAAGACAACAGAGTCAGTTGTTTTTGAGCTTGAATTAGATATCAAAACATTTAAGAAGCTTTTCAAATGTGCCTTCCCTTCTTATGTCACACGCAGGCTTATTACAATATACCCACCCCCAATTTCAGTATCTCCACATTTTGAGAAAATACCGTGCAATTTTTCTTGCAAGATGATAAAGGCAGGCTTTTCTTTGGGAGAAAACTATAAGAACATTTGTTTTTTGAAGATTAGAGCTTCTAAACATGTTCTAGTAGAAACCTCAAATACATAAAGCAAGAAACTGAAAATGAGCCTTATATATCAGTTTTAATATAAGGCAACTGTTTGATTTAAGTAGGGTACAAAAAAAGAAAAGTGGCCTCATCATAAGATTTAAATGAAAACATTACCTGCATATTGAATCCAAAATACACTTCATTTAAAGGGACGATATTTTGTCCAAATCAGGTCTTTTTCAGAGTACATTTTCACGAACAGAAGGTCATTACATCCATTAGCAAAAATACATGAATCCCAAAAACTGGTACTACAGAGAAAATAATACATGTAGTTTAAAGGACTATGTGTGCTCCTTTTAAAATGAATGTCATTCCACTTTGAGTACTACAAAGGATTATAAAAACACCCCTTCATTATTAGTTAGCTTATAATATTAGTATTCGCTGCAGTGTTTCAAGGATTTGTTCCATAAGAATTTTACAATGTTTGTTCACCTGCAGATTATCGGAAAGCAAATTCATGTAAAAAGACTAAGAATGAAAGATTGTGGAGTATATGATAGTGGAAAAATATGTATTTGCACGCAACATGGTTGCACGCAACACAGTTCAGTCAGTGTGGGGGTGGTGCAGCATGCTTCTTATCTCACATGCATGTAGCGTTACCATGTGTTCTACATATTCCACACTCTTATTTATTTGTTACCCACAGTCATGTTGCTACATGTGTTCACGGCATCGAGTAGAGGATGCTGAATAGAAAGAGGGCATTAGAGACAGTCCGCGTAACCCATTACAATCTGCTGCACTGTACATTTTCTATGTGTGACATGAAGTGCCCTGCAGGCAGCAGAGCCACTGAGAAATGCAAAAGAAGAGAAATGTCAGGAGATATTAAAGCATAATGCCTGTTGAATTACTACATTTGAGTCATGCTTGTATCCTTGTTGTGCAATATAAGGTAATCCGCTGTTCCCAGGGTCCTATGTTCTTGATATACATTGTAAGAGATTGGTACAGGCTATTCTTACACTTAAATAAGCAAAAGGTTGAATAGAGATGAGCGTTTTGAGTGCAGTTTGATTGTTAAATATTCATCAGCCACAGTGGAGATAAAACATGTATAAACAAACTAAAGCAAAACCATCTTTCATACAAATTTAAGGGCGTATGTTTCTAAATGTTTATCATTGGTAGCTGTATGTGGTTAATTTTAACATTTGACATAGGGAAACGTAGATTCAAGAGAACATAATACCCTTATCTCATCAATAACATATTAAGAGGATATAGAGCAGGGGATCGCAGGACTCTGAAACTTATATAGCTACACTTGATTTGACCAACTTCAGAGGGAATATCAGGCTCTTTAGCTGTTTAATGCTACAGTTAGAGCACCAGCTAATCGCTAACTGCTGTGTTGAGCAGGTACCATACAGTGGGATATTTAGACCTTTTTTTTGCTGAAAACAGCTGCACTCTGACGAAAAAGATGCCATGAGAGCGATGGGAGTAGATCAAAACAGTAAAGATGACAGAAAAGAAAGTAGCAAATACTAAAAAGTTTATCTTTTATCTTTATGAAAACATATTCTAATGCCAAAGAAAACACAGTCTTTTGATCTCTGCACGCCACGGGCGTAAGGGGGCGTGTCATTTTGTTCTCATTTTAATTTAAAATCAGTGTAAGTAAAGGAAAGAAGCAGACAGTAAAAGCTGCGAAATAAAAAAGCTCTGCAAGGGAAAATTATTATTTTATTTAACCTTTATTTTACCAAATAAAAAGCATTGAGATAAAATCTCATTTACAATGCTGACCTGGCCAAGAAGGCAGCAACGTTACACATTATTACACTACACATAACAAAGACGTATAAAATACAGAGAACACAACTAAGTAAACAAAAAGACGAAAAAGCAGTCACTACATTGTGCACATTTGGGACAGTAAGAAAGGCACTACTTATTACTGCAAGAGCAGCTGGTGGTAAGGACCTCAGACAACTTCAATTTAAAACAGGCTATAGGGACAAGTGCCGTCAGTTTGAGGCTTGATTGAAGGTCATTCCAAGACCAAGGACCATAATGAAAAAGACTCCTTTTTCCAGCCTCAGTCCGCACAGCAGGAACCTGGAACCGTATCCAGGCACTGGATCTGAGGTTAAGAGTCACAAACTGGGGCAAATCTGGCACATATGTACAGTGGAAGCTGGATTTATACATTAATAAAAACCAATGCTGCATATAAGTGAGGACCATCCAGTTAGGCTATACAGTTTGCAATGATGAGTCCTGGTGTATTTGATATATATCGCAGTGCAGCATGGTAGAGTGGGTCAAGTTTGGCCAAAACAGTGGGACAGGCAAATCTATCAATTGTATCACCGTAGTCAAGCTGGGACAGGAATAAGCCAGAGACCAAACTTTTACGGGAAGAAGTTGAAAAATAACATTTAAGTCTGTAAAGGAAGCCAAGAGTGAATGCCAATTTCTTAGTAAGAACTTCAATGTGGTGTTTAAAAGTTTAGATTTCTGTCCAACCAAAATCCCAGATATTTGTATGTATCGACAAACTCAACGGAGACGCCATCAAGGGTGTCAATGGAGAGCCAAGAGGACGCTGACTTGGGAGCAAAAAGCATTGCTTTGGTTTTCTTACTGTTCAACAGCAGTTTCTAAAAAGAAGCGCATGCTGTAGCGTGATAAAATCTGATTTTAAATTGGAAACCACCATATCCAGAGAAGGAGCACATGAGTATACAATAGTGTCATCAGCATACATATGATAGGTAGAAAATTGCATCTGATTACAAATATTTTTTACATAGAATAAAAAGAGCAAGGGCCCCAAAATAGAGCCCTGTGGAACTCCCTTCTCCAAGGTGACAGGGTCAGAGACAGTACTACCCAACCTGACGTATTGAGTACGGTCGGTTAGATAACTCTGAAACCAGCAAATGGCATTATGACCGAAACGAGACACCAACATAACATTAGACAGAATGTGGTGATCTACAGTGTCAAATGCTTTGGCTAAGTCAATAAACAATGCAACACAAACATATTTTTTATCCAAAGCAGCCTTAATATCGTCTAAGACTTTCAGACTGGCAGTAACAGTACTGTGCTTTGATCTGAATCCAGATTGCATAGGGTTAAGGATGTTTTGTGAATTTAAAAAAAGTTTAAGCTGAGTAGAAATTAGGGACTCAAGATTCTTTGATAACACAGAAAGATTTGATATAGGACGATAGTTATTCAACGCAGTGGGATCACCAGCTTTCAAGAGGGGCGATACAAGAGCTTGCTTCCACACAGCTGGCAGTGTGTGAGTGGACAGGGAGAGATTACAAATATCAAATAACTGGTTGTGCTATAATCTGAGCTGCAATTTTTAAAAATAAAGGGTCGAGGCCGTCAGACTTTTTAGGATTAATTGAGTGCAAACCGTGTAAGACTTCAGAGACCGAGAAAGAAGCAACATCGAAAACAGGGGAGTTAATCTCTTGATAGGGCTGTGAGTACGACCATGCATAGAGTCATGATTTGCTCATCAAAAATGTGACCAGCCTTTTTTAAGTGAGCATTAAAGGCATTAGACATATCATTTGTATCTGAAATAAAATAATCACTGACCTTCAGTTTTTGTGGGAAACTAGAACACTTCTTGTTCTGTAGTGATTTAATTGTTTTCCAGAACTTAGAATGGTCATTAAAACAATCAGTGGTTAAGCTCAGATAGTAATCAGCTTTAGCTTTTTTAATAAGGGCTGAACATTTAAAGCCAGTCATCACTAGTGTTAGACTTTCTAGCATGAGATCAGATATTCTCTAGAAACCATGGAGTGTTCCTATTCTTAACTCTGAATTTCTAAGGGGGGCATTCTATTAATATCATAAAAAGTGATATTAAGCTATGAAGTGCCATTTAACCTCGCCAGATCGTGTAGGAAAGCCTGCTCAGAGAAGTGTTTGAAGCAGCGCCTGAGCACAATAAGGCCCTTGGCTTTGGGCAACTTAGTGCTCCTAATGCAAGCAATAGTGCAAGGGTCACTGATATCATGAGGACAAACACCAACAGACACATACTTATGAGCTGCATTTGTTAAGAGGAACTGCAGGGTGGAGTACATTTTCCTGTGAGCTGGTTAAAAGATGAGAGATAACCATTAATTTATGTGATCATGTTATCACGTGACTGGTTAGAGATCACTTGTCTCGTCAGTGTGGAACTTGTTGTTGACTAATGAGTTAAATGCATGGATGACTCATTTGGTTAATAATTTATGCTCTGGTGATGCATTAGAATTCATTAAGTCAGAAAAATCCAAGCGCAACCAACAAACTGAAGATTCAGCATCCTGTCAGGATACAGTCAGCAACATGAAGCGATTGGGGAGATTTGTTTGTTTGTGCTAAGTTAATTAACTTATTTTTCAGTTTGGCAGTTTCACATGCACGTGGGAGTTGAAAGGATTTGTTCAAAAGAAATAAACGATATTAATTGTTTTGTAAGCCTCCCCAAAGTCGATGTGATGTTGTGACTGTGTTATTTCCTCATGGGTTTCGGTGCCAAGCTGAAGTGAAAAAATCACACTATGAATCCAAAATTACCCCCTGTGTTCCCCACAGTGCTGCGAGACGGAAGTGAAGGCCTCCATCAACACCGGCTGCCAACACAACCACATCTCCAGCTCCTGCTGCCAGAGGCTGGGGTGAGAAACGCAATAAATAAATAAAAATAAAGGCTTTATAGGGGGGATTTAACAATGACTGCGTATACGCTGCAGGTTTTTCCAGCTCTTTAAAGACCCGACATCCCCTTCATCCTATAGGAAAGTTATTAAAATGCCAAATAAAGCACAGTCTTTAGATCTGTGCACTGGCTCAGAGGATGTGACATTTTGTTCTGTGCTATTTTAAATCAGGCTAAGGTGAGAAGCAAACAGTAAAAGCTGCTAATATTGGTTTACTGTTTGTCTCCAAAATGCTTGTTAATATTAAGCTGCTTAAATTCTTAAGAAATAGACATTTACTGTAATGAGAAAAAATCCAATTATGAGAGACAGCAACTTTATACAATGGAATGAAATAATAATTTAAAAAAAAATGTTTATAAATACACATCATAAATATATTATGTGTGAGTGTTTGTGTTTATAGACTGGTGCCAAGTTCACCATGTGGGGGGAGCAGCTCAGTGACGGATCTGCAGCTGCAGCTGGGCAGACAGACTGTCCAGTGCACAGCATATGTCAAAGGTAAGATTGATAAATCACACTAAAACAGTGCTAATGCATCAAAATCATACAACTATTGGAAGAGTTTTCTCCATTAACAACACAGTATTGTTAGAAGCAGCTCTGTGAGAATGTACTGAAGCAGTGATGTTTTTTGTGCTAATAGCGCCAGGCTAACATGCTAAAAAAAATTGTTGCTAGTGTTTAGTGTTTTAGCATCCTAACATTTGCTAATAGACACAAAGTACTACTGAGACTGATCTGAAAGTCAGTTTTTGGGATCAATTAAGTACCTCATCTAATCGAATCTTATTTAATATTAAAAGTGGAATTAGTCACAATGACGTTAACCAGTGTCTACAGTTTTAAGCCTAGTGTTTGGCATATTGGACGTAGCCATCTTGTGTCATGGCCGAACGCTTTAACAGGCGACACAATTCTTATAATTAACTTCATGAACTGAAAAGAAGTGAAAGGGTCAAAGCTATAGCCTACCCCAAACAATTAACACCATTGTGTCAATCCCAAGTAGCTATAGCACCCTTATTTAATGTCAATTTTAAGAAGACTAGTAACTTGCGAATGAGAGTCATATTTACTGTATAGACATCGTCCATTTCTCAGCAAGAAAGTAACTGGATATATTTCCGAAAGCATATTCCTTCAAATTAAAATCCCATTTCCAGAGAAATATTTGTGTCCTTGCCCACATTTAAACTAACCTTCCTCCACTCCTCACAAAGAGAAAAGTCCACAAAAATAATTATTTATGTCGCAGTTCTTATCTGATGAATTAAATCCAATCTCTCAGCCCAGACCCTGATTCTTTATGGACAATCAGTGGCGGCTGGTGGAAAATATTTTTGGTTGGACTATGGAAATGGCTGTGACCAAACCATATAGGGCGGTCCGTGTGTGTGTGTGTGTGTGTCGAATATTTTTTGGCGGGGGGGGGGGGGGGGGAGGACAATTTGAGGTTTAACAATATGAGATAATCCATAATCTTCAATGTGGTTAGCTATGAATCTTCCAAAACTGTGCAACAGTACAGTAGGCCCACACAAACTGCAGAACACTGGTGTTAGTAGTAGTAGTAGTAAGTACGTAAGTAGTAGTGTAGTGTGTGTAGTGTGTGTGTGTGTGTGTGTGTGTGTGTGTGTGGATGTGTGTGTGTGTGTTTGTGTGTGTGTGTTGTGTGTGTGTGTGTGTGTGTGTGTGTGTGTGTGTGTGTGTGTGTGTGTGTGTGTGTGTTGTCAACCCTCCCGGTTTCCTCCCGGGGTCATATTTCTCCCGCATTTCTCCCGATTTCTGACAAAATCCGATTTACTCACGTCTGTTTCCACTCTGATTTAGCTACATCATTGTTTTGTTTCCATGGTAGCGCGTCTCTTTAGCAGCGAGCGCAACTCAAAGTCTGAGAGGGTGAGGAAGATGAAAACTGAACAAGAATCGACAACTCGACCCTCTGCTCACTCCTTTCCTGTAAAATACAGGTCCAGCACACATGCTCCATGGTGCTACAGGCATTGCCCTTACAACTACAATAAGCATGTAAATGTTAATCTACAGCTCCGGCGATCCACTAGCACCGGAGTCTCCACCTGCAGACGAACTACTGTAGCGTCACCTTGGATACGAGTCTAAACAACTCACAGACACACAGGCCAGGGCGCTGACAGGGCGCCCTTTGAGCATCAGATCTGATGACGCTGATTGGCTGAAATTATGTTTCGGCGGCATAGTTTACAGATAGCAACAGTCAGCTTGTTGGCTGTTGCTGCTCTGGCTGAGGGCTCTTTCTTACCGCCCGGACGAGAGAGAGTAATGATACACGCTGCGGCCAGGCAGGAAACGTGACTTATCAGTAACTTTAGACATCGTAAAACAATTTTAAAAGAGATTTTATTGTAGATTATACATTTTACTGATACCAACTATATAATATTTACCTTGTTCATTAAAAAAACAAATATATATATATATTTTATTTTTAAATATATATTTTTATTTATTTTTAATGACAATCAAACATGTGGGAAGAGGGGGGGCGGCGCCCCTATGGGCCAGCCGCCACTGTGGACAATACATTCTCACTCAGCTCCAAAACGCTCACTTCCCCACTATATACTGTAGCTCATACCCATCCTCACAAGTACCAGCACTATAACACATACATTAATAATGTAGTGTGTTGACGTCTTAATCTGGCTGATGTATGCATGTTTGGAAGAGCGTGTTCATAAAGCACTTTTCCCCACTTATCTTTTCTTTTTCTCTTTTAGAGGACGAGGCGTTTGAGCTGTGCCTGGGTCTTCAGACATTGTTGGAACTTAAAGTAAGATCCACATTTGCCTTTGCTGTGGATTTTCTAAAGAGTCAGCTGCCTGAAACAGTCACAAGGCTTTTACATAAGCAAAGGAAAAATAAATTCTACCGTAGAAGAAAAATGTCCATTTCAGAGGGAAAGACGTACCAGATATTCATGTGGTGTTATATAATCACGAAAATGCTGAGAGTGTCATATCAGCAGCACTAGATCCCCTTTGTGCAGGTAAAACCCACCATGGAGTGAATCGAGGACCCTTTGTGAGAGGAGAGTTTGAATTTGGACATTATAAAATGCAATTCAAAGTCCATTAAGAGACTCACAGGCAATCTGGAACTAGTGCTCGCTGTTATTTCATTACTACATCTGCTGAATCTGGTTAATATCCCTCTTAAAAATCTAATTAGTTTGGGACTTCAGCTGGGCTCATAAAATAACATGAGCTCTTTTTTTCTTTAGTTTTTTTAAATTAGCCATTAAGGGCTTTGTAATCTTTAAGATGCATTAATCAAGCTTACCCCATGACTGAGCTTTCTCTCTACATTTCCGCAAACAGAATAATAATTCTTTAAATGTATTGGCTTAAACTACCATAGGGTTTTTGAAAAGTTCAACACAGAGACTGCTGGAGCATATCAATAAAAAGCCTTTAGCTTAGCGGTGGTGACTTGAAGTCAGGCGACTGCAATGTGGTTCATTCATAGCATTATGTTAGCTTTTAACTAACTAATCTAACTTAAGCTTGTACTGTTGTCTAGCTGGTGATGATATGTGGAGATTATGCTGTTGAAAAAAATATGTAAATATCATACATGTGTGTTTGCCAGAGCTTATCCAATGGAAAAATGACATATGCTAACTTCAAATTCGGCCAAAACAAACAAATGTTTATTACTGCACCAGTCGATAGAAATCTTGAGAAATTAAGTACTTTTTGTATTAAATATAGATTTGTATTGGATACCCACCCCGTTTTTAACCCTGAATAATTGTCACTGTGTCTCCTCACAGTGCTGCCTGGACCTGAACAGCCGGGTCCTGAAGCTGCAGGGAGAAGAAATTCCCTATCTGAACCCTTCGAACGACAGCCTGTGCCAACACGACACCAACGAGAACCTGTGAGCCCGACTCCACCGAGGCCTCCACCTCTAAATCTGACCGGCTGCAGCAACGTGGCGCGATACAGAGTCTAATCACAGTGTCCGTCACACTGCCAGAACATGGATGAGCTACCGTCTTTCTTGAGTTTGCATCATTGTGTTTGTAGAATTAAGACATTCACTATGATTATCTATTACATTAAATTAGTCTAGTTTTCAGAGCAGGTGTAAGCCTGTTTTGTGCAGATCGAATCTGAGGGTCTAATCATTCTTTATGATTATATTATATATTCAACTTATACTATGTTGAGCTGCGAGAGTACAATGATGCTCTCTAAAATGGAAAAATCATTATAATATTTTAAATGGAATTTTAGTGGAATATTTCGTGATTTGGCTGTACAAAAATGACTTTAAATTATCAAATAAATGAAAAAAGTGTTAAGTGTAAATCATTTCAGTTTAGTTGGTTTGAGAGTAGACTAATTGTTTTACATTTTGGGAGCCATGGCAGTTAATTTTCTTAGAAAGTGATATGAGGAGATACAACCATCATGTCTGTATGGGAAACATGATTTTGCAGCCAGTAGCCAGTTAGCTTAGCATAAAAACAGGAAACGGGAAACAGCTAGCCTGGGTCCGACCAAATGTAAGAAAAAACAACCACTAATTTCCTTTGACTCGTATACGTACATAAAAAACTAGTCGAAAAACTAGTCGAAAGAAAGCGAGAAAACTGTCAGATTCACTTTTTTAAGACTAACGTTGGGACAGAGCTAGCTAGCTGTTTCTTTATGCTAAGCAGCTGCTAGCTGTAGCTTCATATTTACCGTACAGACAAGATTGTGTCAAGATTGTGAATAAGCATATTTCCCAAAATGTTAAACTATTCCTTTATAAACCAACGTGACCCCTCTAACAAGTATTGGTACTCAGGAACCCCCCTCCTGTGTGTTAAAGGAGATGTTCAGATGCCTTGAAGTTTTTTGAAGTCTTGTGTAATTAGGCAAAGATCAGGCTACCTCTAGAAGAAACAAAGACCGGTTCTCATCTTGAATTTCAAACGAGAGATCTGAGGATAAACTCCTTTCCTGATGTAATTATATTCTGCTTTATGAAACCCTTCTGCTCTTTCTGTCCCTATCAAAAGACTGAAGGGGGGAAGTAGTCCAGACTGTCACAACCGCCTTGCCTGAATTACAAGTACCGGTAGTTCCCTATAAGTCCTTTCAAATAAAAATAGACTTCAGGCCAGCCAGAAAAAACATATTTGAGACAGCTACAGAAATCTCAAAAACATTCCATCTGCATGACTTTGTAAAGTTCTGCCTTTGTATAAGTCTGCATGTTTGTGTACTAGTCTGAAGTGTCTGCAGGGGCTGTGTGTGTGTGTGTGTGTGTGTGTGTGTGTGTGTGTGTGAGAGAGAGAGAGAGTGAGTGTGTGTGTCTCTCTGTGTGTGTGTTTGTGTGTGTGTGTGTGTGTGTGTGTGTGTGCGCGTGCGTGCGCGTGTGTGCGTGTGTGTGTGTTGTTACATATGGGAGTCAAAAGCAAGGGTTGTTCATGCCTTGTTTTTGGCTTGAGTTTCACACGGGAAAAAGAGGAATACCTCATAATCTTATCCCAGACCAGTCCACCAAGCTCCGGTCAGAACAAGCTGCCAAAAGCCGACCCCGGCTGCCTTCCCTCTCCACCTCTTTCAAGAGATTCTCATCAACAGTGGCTGCGATATGTGCCAAGAACCGTCTTTAAAACTCATAATTTTTTCACTTTGACTCCTCACGTTTGTCACAAGGATATAAAGAGTCCCCATTACGGTGCCACCTGCCTCTGAGTGTTTTCATAGTGTGGAGAATCAAGAGCTGCCTCAGATCATGCTGTGCTTTAATGACACGTGAACCGTGCCGTGCGTTTTGACTGTGCTGCAGTATCCATAAGATCTCTCCAAAGAGGTCATCCACACGTAGATTTGTTTCTCTTTGATGTACTAGTGAGCTCCCTACGCCGTATGAGAGGAATCAATGTATGACAGACATTTATTTTTGGTGTTATCTCTTCTTCTGAACAGTATTTTCTCTGCCTAATAAAAATATGTATTCTGGCTAGCTCTGTTCTATTCATACTCTAAATATCAACTGACAAAACATTGAGGAGTGACGGGTATAATTGTAAGGGAGATAAATTATGTGAAAGGGCAGACATTTAAAGAAGTACCACTTTTACTTCAAAACCTCAATAGTTTTTTCAACGTAGAAGTTTTCAAGGTAGCCATCGGTGTGATATAACTGATGAAAATTCTCATTTAGGGGGAGTTGTATCTTTTAAAATCCCCTAGTGTCTGCCTGTCTGAATGATGTGAACCAGCAGACTGAGTGTGCGTGGGCTCTACTAGAAATGCCAGTTTCTCGGTTTATTGGACATCACATTGATTCCCATGGTCTTTGCTCACAATACACCCCCCTGCTGCAAGTGCCCTTCACTGGTGCATGCTGCTATATAAGGAACCGCTCATGTCCTAACAGAGAAAGCACATGTTCCCACAGCACCAGGGGCTCAGAGGGTTCAACCCTCTGACCATTGAATGCTCTCATTTCTTCCACCCTTTTTTCAAAATACAGATATAAGACAGTCCAAGTCAGGTTTTAGATTCTTATAATCAAGATTTCACTCATGTTCTCAATGCTGAAGAGAAGGGTTACTTTTGTTTTATATTACTGAAACCTGTAGGCCTTGAACATTTAACATGGTGCTTGAATAAACCACAAATAAAATTGTCTGAAAATTAAATCAAACAATTAAATGACTATTTAATTTAACAAATGGACTTGACTCCTTACTTTGGTAATCACGGCTAGGTCAAGTTATTTATTTGTGATTTAAAATCCCACAGAAATAATTTGTCTAACCCTGCGCAGTATCTTTTTATATTATATTAAAAATGCCACTGGGAAACCACATTAAAATTTAAATTAGACGCCAAAAGTAATGGGAGCAGATGGTAAACCCACAGGTGTGCAGCAAAAGAAAATGCGTCAGCACAAATCAAGTCCTCCACTTCCATAATTATTTTCAGAATCTGCATTCGTTTGTATTGCATCTCTGGGTTGTCACGGATGTTTCCCCACAAACTGTATTCATCTCGTCAGAGCTGTCATGCAGTGCAATTTATTCTGTTATGCTTGGTTTGACAGCTTCTAGCACTGGTAAGCTCTTGGCAGGGAATAGAGGGGGAGAAAGCCTAACAGGAACATACAATTACAGCAAACCTTGTTGGAGATTTCCCTCAGTACGCCCACGCTCTTGTTTTGAGACACTTTCCAAACCACATCCTGTTAACACTGCTGCAGGTGACACCTCTGAGAGGAAAGCACCTATTCTCACACATATCCTCTCAGAGGAAACTGGTTTACTTTCCGTCTGTGTCAGGGTCTTTAGACAAATGCACAGCAGATGTGTGAATAATAGATGTCTTAAAACCACAAAGTGATCGCTTCATGCATCTTGTAAAGAAATACCTTTAAGTTAAGCACAAGGCAGCAGCCGATGCTTGACATTTTCTGAGCAGAAGACATTTGCATAAAGCAGCGTGCCTTATATGATGGTCTCTTCTCATTAAGAGGGCAGATGTAGAGATGGCAGTAGAGGGGGCACACAGACAGATCTGGAGCATAATGAAATAAATCTCCAAGAGTAAAAGCACACACAGCTTATAGACCTACAGTAAAATGCCTGTGCTAAACCACCCATGCTATTATATTTATGGACAATTATTGGCAAGCAAGTTCAGATGAAGAGAGTCAACATTTTAAATGTCATGACAATAAAACTACAAAAAATGTAAAAGACCAAAATCAACAATGTGCTGGTCCATCTCACAATGTTTTATGAATTCCCTACCAAGCCAATTGGTTCCTTAATCAGCTGGGAACTGTAGTTTTCAGCAAGAACTGCAGTAAACTGTGCACATAGGGATTATTTCCAGCATCAGCATTTCCGATGGCATGATTGTGTATGTGGGTTTTACTCAAAGAGAACTGGTGTGTTTGTCTTCATAATAAAGAAAAATGGCTCCCGGTGGCTCTCTAGGCAACTATTTAACACAACCAACGTAAAGCTGAGTTTGATGGGAATGTTTTTTATAATTCATCCTTAGTGGAACATATAGATGTCATCACCAATCCTAAAAACATTTCTTCATCTGTAAATGATGTGGCATCTCACTAAAAAAGAAAGACATTGCCAAAATCAATAGAAGATTCAGCCGCTTAAAGACATTTGAAGCCTGCATATTAGACCAATTTGCAGTTACTTCTGAGATTAGAGTCATTGGAAAGCTCAGCTGGTGTGGGCAGAGAGACCGTCCCTTTGTCACGGACCTTTGATACAAGCGCAGCCAACTCCTCATCACAGCCTGTTTATTTACTTTTCTGTCACCAGAAATAGCTATCTATCTCTTCTTGTCCTTCATCTCTATCAATAGCATCTCCTCCCTCCATCTGGTGAGGGGTTACACACACACACACACACACACACACACACACACACACACACACACACACACACACACACACACACACACACACACACACACACACACACACACACACACACACACACACACACACACACACACACACACACACACACACACACACACACACACACACACACACACACACACACACACACACCCTGTAGGTTGGATTAACTCAGTGGGAATGACCCAAAAGCCAGAACCCCGTCGGGGTGTTTCAGGGAATATTGATCTGACCAGTCCTCTATGGTGCTGTTGTGTAACTCAGGGCCAGTGAGTGGCATGCTCCAGAGAGGCTTTGAAACAAGACCGTGGAACATAATTAATATATTTCTCAGAAAGAGTCACATGGAACTTAATATACAAGTAGAGAGAAGGCTGACTGAGAATAGGGGCAGATGAAGACAAATGCTATGTTACCGTGATTACTGCTCAAATAGCATTCACTTCCTTATTTAAATCGTCTTTCTAACTATAAGAAAACTGTAAAAATGATGTAAGCTATGATATATCCGACTTGGCAATAAAGTGACTTAAAAAGCAAACAAACATGTAAGACAGCAGCTGGCATGCTAACATTATCAATCAATCAATCAATCAATCAATCAATCAATCAATCAATCAATCAATGTTTATTTATATAGCCCAATATTACAAATGATACATTTGTCTCAGTGGACTTCACAGTTTGTACAGAATATCAGTATGAGATTACGACACCCTCTGTCCTTGGACCCTCACATCGTACAAGGAAAAACTTCCAGAGAAAACCCCACAGTTAATGGGGAAAAATGGGAGAAACCTCAGGGAGAGCAACAGAGGAGGGATCCCTCTCCCAGGACGGACAGATGTGCAATAGATGCCGTGTGCAAATTGAAAAGATAATACATTTACAACATAGGTAGTCCAAATGTTTGGAAATGCATACGTCTATATTAAGAAGATGAATCCAGGAGGATGTCAACAATCCTGTGGGAGCCATCAGGGAAGTAGTATGATGAGAGTCAGGCAGAACCACAGAGACAGGTTCAGCCACGACTCGAAATCCAGGACTCAGATCCAGTACTCAGGATAGAGGATCCAGGACTTAGAATAGAGGATCCAGGACTCAGAATAGAGGATCCAGGACTCAGGATCCAGGACTCAGGATCCAGGACTCAGGATCCACACGAGCATGTTTGTTATGTATTTAGCATCAGAAAATGCTAGCACATGTTAAGCTTGCATACATTTCAAAGTCTGGCAGTATATGGGTGAATTCAGACATTAGTTTATATTCTGACACATCCTAGATCTTACACAGGTTAAGTGTCGCAGGCCATTTATGGAAACAAGTAAGTACATTTTAGCAGGAACCTCTGCAAAAGACTTTTTTTAAAACTCAGTTCCATCCTTATAAATCAACACAGCTACAACACTTCCTTTTGTTATAATTGATTCTGAGCTGCACTTCAAAAAGGCAAAACAAATCCCACATACTGAAAAAAATAATATGGGGATTAATTAAAACCTTAATTTTTTTCTATTGCATAAATCTCAAAGCGCCGCCTTTGAGTTAAAATCAATCATTATCTAGGCGCGCTGTTCCACCAATCAGAACACTGATGTTTTCAATGGCATTAATAAAATACATTACATAAAACCCAACAAAAGCAGCCAGTCACATTGAAATCCTCTGTGGAGATCAAACCAGTTGGTTTTATTGCTGGCTGTGGAGCTGCTCATCCGGCAGATCTCCCTCAGAGAGCATGAGGGGATGATGGAGCGCAGATTTAAGCCCCCACACAAAATTGGAAGCTGTTAATCAGTGGTGTCAGTTCCCTCCGGCTTGGAGCTGTTGAGGGAACGTGATGGAGCTCATGTCAAGCCCCCCCCC